TATATATCTCAAAATCAATTTAATATCTAAGAATTTTTTCATTCACATTATACGAACAAAAATGTTTTATTAACATTTTCTTACGAGTTACTGTAACTACTCTTCTATGTACTCTACTTATTTTATATGTTAGTTTTAAATCACCCTTAAAATCAAAATAACAAATGTAAATGTAAAGTATTGTGTCAATTATTTAGCATTACTAATTCGTTAACAAATAACACAAGACGAATGAGTTACTTTAACTTAAAATTTAGAGTGGATGTCCTGGGACATGTAAAAAATGTTAAAATTAACATTTTCTTTTTTACTGTGTATATATAATTATGGAAAAGGTTTAAAAAAAATATATATTTATATAAGAAAAACGTTGGATAGCGAGGAGAATAAATATTTTCAATCAGAATGGTGACATTTTTAATTTAGAAGTGGATTTACTTTTCTTCGCGTGGCTCAGAAAATTCCGCTAGAAATCACGTATCTTTTCTCCAGCCAGGCTTTTCTGACGATTTTAGTCGAGCCGATGTATTCTTGATGAAATCATGATTGATGTACCTAATCTTTCTTCGCAATGTCAGCAATTTCAATATTAAATATCTCGATGTAGTTAAATATTCAATGAGAATTTTTTTTTTAATCTGCTTAAAAAATAGTCTGAGTACAAGTATAATCTATCAAATGTCTATAAAATATCGGTTCGAATTGAAGCAAGTTTTCAGTTTTGTTCGTCCGAGGATCATTACGGGTATTCGTTCGGAGAAGGTAGTTAAAGAGACTGCCGGGACAACCGCGATGGGGTTATATTGATTAAGGAAGTTCGTTTTGTACGAAACACGTTGCTTATACTTGCCTTCGGTGACGAAGACGAAGATCGATGCCGGCTTGGTGTTGGAGGCGCTGCACGTGTAATTGCCCGTGTCCGTCTCCACTGCCTGGCGAATCGTCAGTCGGCTTTGAGTTGGTCCTGGATCGGTTTGTACGGTCACGCTGCCGCGCGTGGTGTCGTAGTTTATCATCCGGTTATTGTGATACCAGAACACGTATTGCGGCGGCGTTGGGCTCTAGAGCAGATAGAAGAAGAATGGCGTCCGTTGACAAGCATGAGATTTAACGCGCGGATTTTTCCCAGCACAAAGGCAACGACCGGAGAATCATCGGGCCTTTGCGGCCCGTGACGTTCGTTATGAGGATTTCTTTCGGCGGAATAACGTGTCTTTGTGCTGGGCATCATGAACACCGACAGGATTTCGCTTTGCGGTCTTGGCTTTTGTTTGCTTATTTCTTTGCAGAACGATTACATGCTGGAAGACTTAGTTTCATTTATACTCAGCTTTATTTTGATATGTTTAGGATGCGTTCCGTTTTGCACTTAAAACGCGTGTAAGCATCATTTGTTCTTGTTTAATATTTGATAGACAACAAGGATGAACTGATGTTTAGCGCGTAAGCGTGAAAACGGAACGTACCCTCCTCCCCGTAATGTTCATTAACATTCATTATAAAGTTGACGCTTAAATTGATGCTTTAATATAACACAACATTCATATACCAGGAATATTTTTCTGCGCATCTAGTGTTTTTGTTTGTTTTATTTAGAAATAAAATAAAAGTACAAAGAAGACTCCCTTTAGCGTCTAGTTAAACTACAGTCCAAATTACAAATTCATCTATATTTTAATTTTTAAAATCAAGATGTTTTTAATAAATATTAATATTGAAGCATCATTAATTTTAGGAGATACGAGCAAATAAAATTAAAAAAATTTATGGTAAATTAAATTTAAAAAATACACACAGAAAAAATGTGATATATTTTAATTAATATTAAATAATTAACGTACAAAATTTAATATCCATACTAAGAAGTATAACAATAAAGTGCTTGTTGAAATAATTTTAATTGAAAAAGTACTGGCTCTTTATATAATTTAAAAGAAGCAATTTTACGTTATCGTAACGGTAATTCTAAGACACTGTGTACGTTTATGTAGCAAGTATGTCAGATATATCTTGAAATAATTAAACGTCAACTTGCGAGAATTTAATATTTGCTTTTGCGGGCTCTGGTTAAACGCGCGCGGGAATTTGGTTGCAAAAACACGAGTTTATATAATAGGTTGGGTTTCGTTGAAAACGAGCGCGCGGAATTCAGCTGTAGCTGCGAGCGATGAGGCCCATCAACGTTTATTATAACACCGGATACACGTTTACAGCGACCCTGTCGTGTCATAGAATACAGGAAGGATAGGTGCGTGAAATGGTGTGTTGTTAAGGTCAAATACTCGCAAACTTCCAACCACAACGTCGTCAGGAAATTCGCAATATGCTGAGCGATGACGAAGCTGTGTAAAAGGCGCGGAGAATAAAGGCTGCTCCAAAGTACTCTCTTCTCTCAACATATCTTATTTGTTCGCCAACATCGTTTTCTTACTACATAAGACATTATCTCAAAAATGCTTCGCATGGAGTTACTTCAAAAGTTTATGAATATATTGTTAAGGATGTTATAATTGTATTATTTTCTTTTCATTAAGAATTTAAATGAGTATATCGCGTCAATATCTTAATATTGTGCTTAAAAAAGCACGATTTCGTAAAATATGTAAATATACTTACGTGAGTATACTGAGAGAAATGTTTGGTACGCGTATATCCATTTTGTTGATATGTGACTAACAAAAATTGTCTTATTTTTTCATTTAAAAATTGTATACGTCCTAATCGAAATTTCGTTATTCTAATTAAAATTTGATTATTCTAATCAAATTTCGATCAGAACGACAAATTTGATTAGAATGAAAAATTTTGTTGTTCTGACCAAAATTTGGACGATACAATTTTTTAATGAAAAAGCAAGAAAGTTTTTGTTAATCACATATTAACGAAATGAATTGTTATACGTAACATTTCTCTCAGTGTAAAACAATAACGTACACATTTATTTAACTATTAGCGGCTTGCTCGTACTGTCTCGTTAGTGACTGGATATATGGATTCGGCGTGTGCGCCTTATAGCGTATAAATTTCCGCCCAATGTAGCTGCGGGATCCAGACACGTGGGATACTGCTCGTCATCCGTTTATTGTAACGTCGGATGCGTACATATTGTGGCAGCGGCGTCGAGCCGCAAAGCGGGTGAAGAATAGACGCGCGAAACCATAGCGTACGCGAGCAACGAGGATGCGGGATACCCGAGGATTTTCGGCTTCATGGATTCTGTCCGGCAAAGCAAGTGCAAGTCAGGAGTCAGAGGCCACGCATTCCTCTATGCTAAATGCTCGTTATTTTATTCCGTGTTTAATATGTTCCTCAAACCGTTATGCAACGAATGCTCGCTACTGCGCGATGTACAATGAGAGTGTGTATATCACAGAAACACGATCGTTGTTTCTCATTATTGTACGTCGTTGCGTCGACGAACAAGGTGCGCTTGGTGCAAAAGGTAGAAATAAAATTGAAAAAGAGATTCGTAGAAATACGTCATGAATATATGGTTAGAAATGTAATTTCGAATGAATACGGGGAAAATAATTTTGTTGAAGTATCTAAAAAATGTAGCTACAAAACAGATCTGAAAATAACTTTGCTGGATTATTAAAATTATTATGTAGAACGCTGAAGTGTAATGAGCAGTGCTGCAAAAAGTTTTGACATCTAGCGACCAGCTTGAGCGTCCTACTTAATTGTTTTGATGGTCTAACAAAATTATTTTCAGATTTGTACCTAGTTAAATTTTTAGTTAAAAAATTCATTCTTTATGTTATCGAATGAAATTAAATTGATGACAAATAACATATGGTTATAAACGTAAAACTATCTAATAATTTATTTTTCTCGTTTAGTTAAAAATATAGCTTTCAATATAGATATAAATTATTTGAATAAATTGTTAATTTAATATTTATTTAATATCTTCTTCGTGATTTGTGGCACAAGGGGAGGGGGAATGACGGATTTATTTCAAAATATTTGAAATTTTAGATATATAGATATAGATTTGAAAATAATTTTAATGAGCCATTAAAATAATTACATAGATATACATATATATGGATATTCGCACAACAAATACGATGAGCGATGCTGCAAAATATTTTGACAATTTAGGAATCAGCTTTTGTTTGTGTGTGTGTGTGTGTGTGTGTGTGTGTGTGTGTGTGTGTGTTCTATATAATTATTTTAATAATCCAATAATATTATTTTCAGATCTGTATTTAGTCAAATATTTGGATACTTTAGCGCAAAACTGTTCTTTGAGTTCTTTCCATGTAGACTCATATATTTCCGCTATTCTTATTAGATAAGACATACTGCGTGTTAAATTTCTCTTTTTTCTTATAAGATATTTCAGCAAATTATCGTGTAATTAACTCAATAATGCTACACGTTGCGAGCTTTTTGAAATATTATCGTCGATTTTATACCGCTAAAGGCAAATAAATCTCTCCAGAGACGCTGGGTGTATTCACTTTGTGCTTTTAGGAAATCATATAAATTATACCATTGTTCTCGCGAGACGACAAAGTGGAGTTTCAACGAGGCAATGCGAGTTACACGGCAGAAGAAAGCGAATTGTATCAAACAAGTAGTGGTACAAACTATTAACACCACGCTAATTACGCCGCTACTTATCCCTGGTAGCGGTATGCATAAAGTGCATGCATAATGTAAGACAAGCGATAGTTTCTGTCATATGAATGTGAATTACAATGTCAATAAAACGAATGCAAACATCTGAGATTGAACAAGTCCGGTTTTGCATAAATTTGCATTATACCGCGATAATATTACAAGTAGTTATAATTTATAAACAGTGAATGTGTGTGTGTGATTTACTAATGTTATATCGATCATGAATAAGCGTACATATGAAATCGCGCGTGATCGATGGGATTAATGTATACATGTAGAGATTACTGTAGATAAATCAATAGATTTCGTTTTGTTGAATTTACGCGATATTGTACACAAATTTACCAATTTTAGTTTAATAAATATGGTTTTGTCCTCGTGGCTGGAAACACAGTTGTTATTTTTGGCCATCAAATAGACTCGTACGTATCATATTACAAGTTTAATAATCATATTACACTTCATGGCAGTTAACGAAAAATGTATCATCAAACATTTTAATTTGTCAATCTCTGTACATTGATAACGTTTTTTCAATCCGCTTTTTACAATATTTCGAAAAGCGTATTTACGTTTTTTTTTTTATGTAATTGATTATATTTATTTTCGCTAATAACATATTGTTATTATAGAATTTTGTTGTTTAAAAAATCTAACTGTATAAATAACGAACGCGTGACGTAAAGTAGGAATAGAATTGTGGCAAATACATAAAATCTCAGTAGCTACACCTAAATCAAGCGTTCCACGACAATGGAGATTTATATTAGTCTAGAAAGTTTCCATCCTCCTTTTTGCGAACGGCTGCGTTTACGTCGTTCAGTAAAATAAGCCGACATCGTTGCGTGAATCACGTCGCTTGCAGTGCTAGTGGAAAAATCTTGAACGCGCCCGACGGCGAGCGCCAGACGCTAAGTAGAAACGGACGAATCCGTTGAGTAAGTAGAATGAAGCGCGACAAGCGCGCTCACCTCTTTTCATCTTCTACCGAGAAAATGAAAGCTCGCTTTATTTTCCCGATTGTTCCAAGTATGAGGAAAACATCGGTAAAGAATAAACAAACGATCATAGTGCAGACGCAAAGTCTAAGTGAGAAAATACGGCTTTCCATTGCATTGCTTTTTAGTTAATTACAGCAGGCTTTGACTTTGCGCGTGCCGTTGCGAGAAATTCTTCAACTCGCGAAAGGAATTTTTATAAAGTCCATTGTTCGTCGTTAGTCAGTGCAGTTTCATACATCGACGGCGCTATAAAAGATCAGCGTGTCTCTCATTCCGCTCCGCTGGAAAAAAAATCTCGTAATTTCGTTCCACATCGGAGCTTTCGTAAAATTTCGCACTGTCCGTTTGGTGTCACGAAGGATCAATTGCCGCGGCGGAGCTGACGTCTCTGAGAGAAATACCTTCGAGAATGTCGGATTCCATTGTTC